GGTCGACCCAAGTTTGAAAAACACGCATTAACACATTATTTTCAGTGGGAAAGAGACTTATGACTAGACTGAACTGGATAAAACGAACAGTGTATCGGGAGACATACCTGAGAGGTTGCTGGTTGATGTCGCAGCTGGTGAACACATCTCTGACGCCGAGTCTGAATAATCCAACAGAGTGAGGAAGAGTGACTGAACCTAAGGTACTTCTTACACATTACAAGAAAGTGGCGAAGAGGAGTTACAATTACCTGATTCCTGTTCCAAAAGATGCAGCTCAACATGTTCCTGCAGTAGATAGGGACAACTGTAGACCAGTGTGCACATGGGACAGGGGAGCAGCTTCTCTGGAATACATAAAGAGCTGTTAAATTCAATTTGGAAATAACATTTGAAACAAAACTCAAAAGTTAGAGGTACCTCCTTCTGGTGAATTCTGGATCTGTCGAAATTCACCTATCTCATTGGGATTAATTCGGTCTGAGATTTCAGAAACCTGCTTTCTTAAGTCTTTAGTGCACTCATAACTCTCTCCAGGTGATAAATGTAGATTTTCTGTTCCACTTTGTCCAGATGACCCCAAGTCTCTCTTATCAGCGAGGGCACTGCTGTCAAATCTTAGTGACCGATTGGTTTTGGACTCTTTGCTTTCATTTTTTCTTGCATTTGAACCATTAGGAGACTTTGGACTTTGGCCTTGATGATCTTCAGGATGTGCAGACGTGATGTGGAAACAGAGCTCATCATAACTAACTCCAGACAGACCACAGAGGGGACAATGATGGTCATTTTCCAGGTGGAAAAGAAGGAGATGCGTCTTCATGTCCTCCTCCAACAGTATCTCCATACCACATATCTCACAAGTCAGCATGGCTGTAGTCTGTAGACACAAGAGCAGAATGCCCCTTTCCAGAGCAAAATCAAAGACCACATCATAGTTAATACACATAACTTATTAAATTACATAGTAACAAAAATTTAATTACATAGTAAAATGATGAAATACAGTTGATCAGTGGGCTGTCCCAACTGCCCTGAATGTACATATGTTTAGTGCATGATATGCTTAAGCTAATATGAGTAAAACTAAAGAACAGAGAAAGTTAAAAATAACAGAATCTTTTCTTTCTATTCGCTTTTTGCATAAAAAAAATCCACAACTTTTTATCAGGGAACCAAACTGCTTTAGAACAAATTAAAACTGCCTCCTTTGTTGTGACTGCTGTGTTATGGAAAGGGGTTACCAGTACCAAGATGGCGTCTTCATTGGCTGCATCAATTTGGCCGAGGCACTCCTGCCCTTGGTTGCACATATACATATAGGAGCAGACCCTGCATCAACCGCTTTGGCCTATGGCTGCTGACGTGATTTGGCGGCACCATCTCGGGACGGTCAACAGGTGCGCTCAGTGTAATGTGTTGAGCAGGAACAGAATCGATTTTAATCAATTTAAAACGCTAAATACTGAACTAATTTTCCCAGTTTTGTTTTGTTTGTTTTATTGCTAAAAATAAACAAATGATGCAGTGCATTTAAATATTGTTAGTGGGATTAAGAGTAGCCTAATAGCAGCAGTTAGCAGGTCGACCTCCAAAAGATGGCGCCCGTGATTTCTGCTGTCTGACTGTCAATGTGGGGTCCAGTCTTAGGGCCGATTAGTGACAGTGAAGGGGACTCTTCAGAATGTAAAGGTAAAACTAGTCAAGGTCTACAAATCCCCCAAACGCCAACATACAATTCCTTACTAATCTTCTGAGTTAAATAATTACAGAAACAGAGGCAATACTGATCTGGGGTGGGAATTTCAATATTGTATTAAGCACGAAGCTTGATTCAACGAACTATAAAAACCAGTAAATTTCATCCACAGAAAAATTTTAATTAGCACTTGAAGAATTTGGATTTGTTGACATCTGGAGGGAATTGAACCCCAATATTTAAAAAAAATACTCACTACTCAGCCCCCAATAAAAGTTACTCCAGAATTGATTACCTTTTCATGAATAAAGCTGATTTATATAAAGTAAAGGAATGTAAAATAGAAGAAACAAGTATATCTGACCACTTTCCTAATATTAAAACTTAATTTACCTTCCAGAAAACGTACAGCACGGCGATTAAATGTAGGCCTATTGAACTACAAACTAATCAAAGCTGAAATTTCCCATGAGATAAAAACTTATATAGAAGAGAATGATGATGGACAGGTTTGTCGGGTATTACTCTGGGATGCGCTTAAGGAGCAGTACTAAGAGGAAAGTTGATATCAAAAACTGAGGCCTTTAAGAAATCCAGAGTGGAAGCCTATGATAAAGAAAGAGCTAAATGAATAAAATTAGAAAACCACACAAATTAACTCAAGATCCCAACCTGTTTACTAAGATAAAAGAATTAAGAAACAACATCAATTAAATATTTACATACAAAATTGAAAAGAAATAGAAATTTATCAGACAATCATATCATGAAGTCGGATTCCAAGGAAATAAATGACTAGCAAAGAAACTGAAAAAACAACGTTCAGCTAGAAATATCTACAAATTAAAGGATGGAGATACAAATCAAATGACACGCGACCCTGCAGCTATTGAGGACATGTTTAGGATGTTTAATCAGAGACTATATGGTCAATCAGATTTTTTTATAACACCTAAAATTATCGTCGAATTTAAATCTACTGTTCAATCGTGGTGGAGAATTTGTGGAGCATCTAATGTTAACCATGCACATTTTTTCTGGCTCTGTTCTAAAATCATCCAGTTTTGGAACAAAATACACAGAAGGATTGTAACAATATTAGGTTACACAGGACCTAACACTGCTTTGGTTCTATATCTAGGCCTTTGGACAACGTTGTTCTTAATAATGACTGTTATTTGTTTAAAATTCTGTCGGTGGCTGCCAAAAAGGTAATAACCAGGAAGTTTGGCCAATTCGTTTCCCCCACAACAAAGGAATAGATACAGACTGTGAACACATTATATGAGACGGAGATTCTAACACATAGACTGAGAACTAGAAATGGATAAGCTTCACATCAATGTTACAGGACTAACTTGGGTTATGAAGGATGCCCTTGATCTTTAGGATATTGGAATAAGAGTTTCCCCTTAGTATATTATTTAATGGTTCTATTTTTCTTTTAATCTTTTGTAGTGTTTTGAGTGCCTTTTTTGTCTGTATTATAAAAAGCTCAAAAAAAGTTATAAAAAAATAAATGTTAATATAGATATCAAATAATACACTATAACCTACAATAACTTAAATTCTATCAGCGTACTAGATCATCAAATCAATTCTCAGTCTGTCCAATAAGCTGCCTGTAGTGTCTTCAAATGTCCAGCAGGTGTCAGTATTCTGTCACACAGCATCAACAAAGCATAAATACAACTTGGCATCAAGATGCCTCATTAACCATCACTAGTGTCAATTATTTCAATAATCGAGTAATCAAGATTAACCTTTTAATTGTTTCAGCCCTAATTGGAACCCTATCTATAAAAGATATAAACGATTTTGGGAGCGTTTAAATCAGCGGCAGCTGTCAGTAACCTATGACATCGGAAGTCGACGGGAAACGTTTAAATACATGATTTAACAATAAGACGATGCAAACATTATTAATGACATGACAGCATATCCCTCTGAAGAAAACTCACCTCTGCACTGATAACAGCGAGTTGTCCAAAGTCTTTACAGCCTGTTTGTTTTATTTTGGTCGCTGCGGACATTTGACAACAGGGCGCCACAGGAAGTGGAAGTAGCTTCTTATTTTTTTTTATGGCGGTTGGCAAGCGACTCATTAATGCGCATTATCGCCATCTAATGGAGTGGAGATCGGTATGCTTTTATATATTAAAAATACCATATCTAAGCTTATCAGCACTATTGCAATAGAAAGGAGTAGGAATGCCAAAATCCAGTACTCAAGCTGGAACTTAGACATGTAAGTCAGTGTTAGGGTTTGACTTTACTATTAAACTGTCTGTGATACTCAAACCATCTTATTAGGCATGTCCTGATCCAATATTCATATCAGATATCGATCCGTTATTGGCTAAAAATACTAATATAAAATTTTATCGGCTGAAATCTCTAATATCTTCATGCTGATAGAAACACTCTGCTTTTGCTTAGTTTCTGTAACTTTACATGTGTCACTTGTTTTCATACCTGATCAAGACTTTTCTAACATTCAACAGCGTAAAATAAGTAATAAAAGCCAGTGCGGTTCATGCTAACATCATATATATACATACATACATACATACATACATATGGTACTATACTATGTAAGTATGTATGTATGTATATATATATATATATATATA